TATACATATATATACACACACACACACATTTATATGTATATTTATATATATATATATATTCACTCACTGCTGTCGAGTCGATCCAACTCATAGCGACTCCTCCCTGGGTTTCCATGGCGGTATCTCTAAGGAAGTAGATTGCCCAACCTTCCTTCCGAGGAGTGGCTGGTGGGTTTGAACCGCCAGCCTTCTGGTTAGCAGTCAAGTGCCTTAGCTACTATGCTACCAGAGCTCCGTTATATATATATATGGAAGATGGGGCAATCTACTTCCGTAGTGATACTGCATCGGAAACCCACGGAGGGGTCGCTATGAGTTGGGTCCAGACTTGATGGCATATAACAACAATATATATATACATGAGTTGAATATACATAGTTGAATGACTCGATGGCACTGAGTTTTCATATATACATACACATACACACATAGAGAGATGCTATTTCATGTATATGCATAATGTGGGAGGATTGGGGGAACTGTCAACCTTGTTTGATCCCTCGGTAGGGACTGGGTGGCAAACGAACAGGTGTGGAAGGCAGACTTTTCACAGCACAGCCCTTTAAACCTTTTGAATCTCGAACCATTTTTCACCTGACCCAGAACAAAGCACAAAACTGGGATCGCCAAGACAGCAGCTTCAGAGGAAGGGCTATGTCCAAATTTCTAACTTTATAACGTGCAAACTAAAGCCGGACAATCAAGTGACTAGTGCGGAGTTACATAGCAGGAGACCCGACGGAAGTCAGCTACTCCCACACAGGTTTTCCCTGCTACCTGAAAGGAGAGCGTTCCTCGGAAACCTTGCAGACACCAAAATGCCTAAAGCAAAAAAGCAATTACCATTAACTTCTGTGGGAAACGTTCTGGAGTGTTCCTAGACCCAAAAACATAACCTACCAAATTCCACCAAATAACACAGAAACCCAACAGCGCGCTGATGTGGCTCAGTGGCTTGGTGCTGAGCCACTGAGGGTTGTCCCTGGGGAAGAAGCTTGGTGACACCACTCACGGCTCGGCCACTGGCTGCCTCTTCAACGGGCCTGCTGCAAAGCCAATGCTGAACGCTAGTTCTGCTTTGCACCTTTTTTCACAAAAACAAAATCCTCTTCGGATCTCTTTGGGTTAGCGGAAACAGGTACTAATGCAGATCTTCCGTAAAAGGGGCGTAAAGTGAACTTTCAAAAAGCAACGGATGTGGGTGCTCACTCTGGGCCTCTTCCTTATCCTATGTCTTCTCATTGGGTGTGGTCCAAACAGGTTTGGGCTGCATAATGGTTGTCGTGTTCTATCCACATTTTAAGAGTCGAAAATATAAAATAACTCAAACCTGGGACTAGTAATTTCTTGTTGTGATCACCAGAATGGCCACCTTTACAAACAGCCTGTGCACACGGCCACCATTGCATTTACTGCGACGTGCTGGTACTTTTTCCTATCCTTCTAAATCAATTGAGCTCATGAAGGGCAAGAACTAAAATGTCATTTTTTTCAACATGCAAATATAAAACATAAACTTGCTGCCAAAAAAATATTAATACAGGTTCACAATTCCCTTAATCAAAGCCCAGGGGCTAGGTGTGTTTTAGAAATAAGAATTTCTCGGCATTTGAAAATGTTACAAGATACACTAAGCATCTGTAACACCCCAACCTCAGTGGGCATGGAGAGCACAGAGCACCCCACAATCAGAGGGTTAGGATTTCTTCAGCAGTGCACGGGCTACACGGGCTGGACAGAACGGCTCAGTAATTCAGGTCAGACTGGGCCACCAAATGAACTGCTGCCTTCAAGCTTAAAATGCTTTTGGTTTTCAGAACATTCCAGATGCTGGGATTAGATAAGGGATTAGAGGCTATTCACAAGGGTGCTGCTTGGAAAGAGCATGAGTCACTTCAATGCTCATCTTTTTGATAACAGAACAAGCAACCACCCTGAAAAGACAGCTTTCACGTTGTGGGTTTGGGCTGAAGACTTGTGATTAAGGAACTCAACCTTGCAGAGGGTGTAAGGGCTGACACCCCAGGAGAAAATGAGGGGAAATAAGGAAATCCTAACTGCATCATGCCCTCCCTCTTGCTGCAGTCATTTCGCTGTTACCTGCCGTGAGTCGCCCTGACTCATGGCCCCCCACGGGCTGGAGGAGAGCTGTTCCATGGGGTTCCTGGGTGCAATCTTCCCTGAAGCAGCCCGTCAGCTCTTTCTTCCGCACAGCTGCGGGGTGGGTTCAGACTGCTAACCTCTGGGCTAGGAGCTGACGGCATCCAGCTTGCACCCCCTGGGACCTGTGCAGTTATTGCATTAGTTAACAACATAACAAGAGCTCCCTGTGATTAAAGGAGCCCTGGTGGCACCATGGTGAAAGAGCTCAGTTGCCAACCAGGTCAGTGGTTTGAACCTGCCAGTAGCTCCACAGGAAAGACATGTGGCAGTCTGCTTCCCGTCTTAGAAACCCTATGGGGCAGTTCCACCCTGTCCTACAGGGTCACTATGAACTGGAATTGACCCCATGGCCAATGGGTTTGTTTCGGTTTTGAGCAAACAACATGAACTTACAAATGGAAATAGGTAAATAAAGTGTCAGTCCCACATTACAGACAAGTGGATGGAGGCAATGGGCTCTAACCCTGCTAAATGGTAACTGCACTCCTAACCCTAACCCAACTCACTGCTGGCTCCCTCAAAACAAGCATTCCAAACACACTGGTAAGGAATAAGCAGGACTGATGCAATTGTCTCCACCTGTGACCATTGCTGTGTAATATAACAGAGGTGTTCTCTAGTCAACTTGGTGGCGTAGTGCCTATGGCATCTGACTGCTAACCAGAAGGCTGGTGGTTCAAACTTACCAGCCACTCCTCAGAAGAAAGATGGGGCAATCTACTTCCATAGCAATGCCACCTCAGAAACCCAAAGAGAGGTCGCTATGAGTGGGACCCGACTCCACCACAGTGAGTTCTCCCAACGGACCCTACATCAGAATCCCTCCCTTTATAAGACCTTTTCTACTTTTTGAGAGGGAAACTCCAGGAGTCAGAACACAGCACACACTACATCAAATCCTTTCCTTTCTCTCTGCAACCCAACCCTTACCTCCATTTTGTTTCTGTGACTGCCACGTATTTTTCTTTTGCTAAAAATTCAGACTTATAAATGACTGCAAATCAACTTTGCAGACAATGATTCAGCTTGGCGCTGTTGACTTTTCTAATCTTAACATTGTAGCTACAATCTAACTGAACCCACTGTTTTATTCCGTGAGCGACATTCAGCAAGTGTTCATTGCAAAAAAAAAAAAAAAAAGTGCATCCCACTCTAAAAATGAAAATAGTAATAATGAACAAGAAACACCTTCTAGGTTGTGGCTACTATTTCAGGACGAAACGCTACTTTGTTATATGTTGTTGTTGTTTGCCGT